GTAGCTCTGAGTGCTCATCTTATGCTGGATATCAACTCGCTTCATGAATTCACGACAGGAGGCGCTTACGACCTTTGATTCCCTCTCAATAATGATGCTTTTCAAAAGCGTTTGGAGCTCTCAGGCGTGACTAGTGAGTAATTGGGCTATACCCTGTGCAGTAACTGAAGAAAATGATGGAGTGGCGGTAAATGCTGAGAGTATGCACAACGACGTACATCCTAGCGCAGCCTTTGACTGATAACGAACCAAGTGTGAAACCGACTTAAGCAGTATTCCTGACTCATTTACGCGTCGGAAGGCTCTATAAGATAAGGGACTTGCGAGTGGTAGGCGTCTTCAGCGGCTTGGAGTTCGGGCCACGGAAGTGTCTCCTAACTCAGGGACTGATCCTAGGTCACGAAAAGTGCCTGGCCAGTAGCTTCACTGTCCCATTGATCGCATTGTTCCCCGCTAAATCATTGTCATCCACGTTGATCAAAACTTCCGTAAGAATCTGGCTTGGAACCTCTAATGGTGATACCACCACAGGAACGCCCCCCATGCGGGCACGCTTAGCCCGTCTGCTTTCTTCCCTTTCGTCCGTAGTTGAGTTTAGCAGGAACCGCAGCTGCAGCCTAAGAATAAGGGATTCAATTTGGAAGGGAAGATGGAGTAATCCTCGACAAGACAACAGAGCGCTGAGATATACGTGAGGGTGAGGTCTTACTGCATGAATCGGCAAAGTCGTCGAATAACTTACTCAATATTGAACTCTTGAAAATTCTTTGTCGGGTGTATTATGGCCTGCTACTTGTTTGAGCAGTGAAGCAGCTGCCGTATAAGTAATGTGAATACCTTTTAACGGCCAAATAGGCCACTTAGAGCTCTTTCACACCTACCAGATGCCACTGCTATATGGTCGAGCATGGAGAGTAACAAGCGATTACAATGATCATCGTCCCAACTGGTGGGCAACTAGCGACGGATGTAGAAGGGTTTGTCCCAATCAGGGAGAGCAAGGACTGGAAACGACAACAGTTGTCTGGTAAGATTCCTGGCAGCTTTTTCTTCGCTGTCTGTCCAAACAAGCTGTTTGTACTTATTAAATAGACCCGTTCGAGCCGCGATGGCGCAAGAAAACCCAGCTTTGATGCAGTATGATGCGATAACGACGAACCTTTGGAAAATGTTCGTGCGATCCGCCACCAGCGAATATCAAATATCTTCACTTTGGTCTATACCTGGTTCGGTTCCTGCTTCGGAGATACGGGATCCTAGTAAAATGACTGTTTGTATGCAAAACGCACAACTTTGTGTGCCTTTGCCGTCATATTGTTGTCGCGTACAAGTTACGGCGGATGCCATATGTAGTGAATATTCCCTACAATCACGGCAGCAATGCCGTGCTCGTCGTGAAGTGAGTGAGGGTTGTATAAATAGTGAAAGTGTCTGTGAGTTCTTATTGATATACTTTTAATATAACATTGATTAAAGCATTAAGCATTCTTTATGGAGTGACCATTGGTATGGTTATAGGAGAGGGTGGCTTGTGCCATGGTGCAAAACCTATTTGCACCAGGCTACGCCGTCGTCTCTCCCAGCCCCAAAGGCCGCAGTGCCTGCTCTACTGGGGTCGAGAGAGAACAACTTTTTCAGAGAGAGAATAAACTGAGAGAACTTATTTCCTTAACCTTTGTTAGTCTGATATGTTTTCTCACCATGATAGATATTGCTTGCCAGCTCGCTATACTCAGCTGTAGGGTTCCAGGGATGCGCCCCACAGTCGCCCTTCAGATGTACAACCGAGTAATACGTATAGCTTACTGCGAATATTTGTACAAAAGAGAAATGCTCTAAGTTATCTTGACCAGATCTCAGCAATTGCATGAGGGAACTGAGGGCTCTCCCCCTCTTCTCATCA